AATGCATAGAAAACCTGGTTTCATTTTCTCGTCATAACCGTGTAGAAAGCATATCTATGAAAAGGAAGAGTCTTATTTTATAATGAACTTTTCACATACTTGTATTAAAAAAAAAAGGTCCTAAATAGATGAGTTTTGGAAAGATAATGCAATATGGCAAGCAATGACTACCTTGTTGCTTGAAATAGTCTACATCTTATCAGATGAACGTCCGATACGCAAAGTGCTTGAAGATTGCTTCGCCTTTGCCACAGCATGACCTCGTATTGCGCTGCCTCTGCTATTGGCTTACTTTTTTTATTATTTATTTGAATATAGCTTGAGATTTCCTTCTTTGACAGTCTTTTAAAGTCATCTTGGTTAGCTTAAGACACGCCAACCGAGTGCGCCACACCGGTTTTTAGCCTCTCCAGTGTTAAGCAGTTGCAGGTGTGTGGACCAACCACGTCGGCCATTTCTCCTTGCACGCTGGTGCAAGGCAGTGAAGTTTGACGCGAGAAACCAGACAATTTTGAAGTTCATAATTTTCGAATATTTAAAAAACTCGAATACTTTGAACAGCAAAAGTGTGCTGCAAATCTGGTTGAGTAACAAACACTATTCGCAAATTATTCAAAGTTTCTAATGTTTGTACACACCTCTAAAAATTACAAAACTGACTTGTATCATAACCAGAAATCAGCACCCTATCATACCAGTAATAAATTAGGTGAAACAAAGGCACTAAATGTCACAAATGTAAATGCCAGATACTGAATTTTTAATGGTTTGACAAGAAATGGGCAAACACATTTCTGTATAGAAAAACTATCTCATCTTTAAAGGAAAATATAACCGCATTCCTTTCTGAAAGTAATGTTTGTAATGAATTACTTTTTGTAGATTAGTAATTCTCATTAACTACTTTTGGAGCAAAGTAGTAGTTGTAATTATACATGAAAACAGCTCAAACGACGAAAATGAAGTGAAGAAACAAACACGGCAAGACGAAGCCGTATTTAGCTAAAGTTTTATTTTTTATTTAAGAATACTAAAAAAGACAGAAGACACAACGAGAGATTATAGAAGCATTTTTTATTTCCATGCATCAGCGCGCTGTCGGTAGCTCTGTCAGACATAGGGGTTTGCTTTTTGCCATAGAATATTACCAGAGTTGTTTGAAGTGTTTTACGTCTGAAGAATAATGTGGTACCTGGTAGATGAGTAGGTGTTTGTTGATGTAATATTTTTGCCTATGTTCTTTTCTTTCTTTTTCACTGGTAAAACTTTAGTTGCGAGTACAGCTTCGTCCTGTCATGTTTGTTTCTTCACTTCGTTGTTTGAGCTGTATCCATCATGTATAACGTTTACCAACTTGCCCAATTTGCTACGTTAGAATAGTTTTTAATTACATGTAATTCAATTACATTGCCGAAGGAATTTACCCAAGTATGATAAAAATAACTTTATAGTTCTGCTGAGTACCTCAGTACTCTGGTATTTGAGGCAACAAGCTAGCCAGTCATGCAGCATGGCAAATTTTCACAGGAAACAAATTACACCTGGTACAGTGTTACAAGCATTCCGTGTTTTTGGATAAATTCGAAAAACTTTAAAAAAACAATCGCCGGTAAAATTTTCTTCAATTCATATTTATTCGAAAAACTGAATTTCGAGGTCACGGTGGCAAAATGGAAAGCAAAAACAGACTATTTTACGAATAAGGTCTGGCAGAGCACAGAGTTAGTAATCCAAAAAAAAAAAAGGCCACATCCATTTTTTTTTTTTTTTTTCTTTAGCATTGTTGTCAAAAGGAAGTTTCCCTTTATCTCATGAGGGTTCATTCTCTACAACAGGTTAATATACTTCTGGGCGACGACAAATGCCTGTTCCGGATTCCAGTTTAAACCATACCCTTGTTCTTCTGAGAGGAGGGCTTGTGCTCCTATAGCAGTGAGAGATATCAACCTGTAGATTTCATAGGAGGGTGGAGGGAAGCTGAAGCGTTTATGCTTCCCAACGACTACGCCTAGGAGTTTAGCTACTTCAAAGTACCGACATTTATTGAAGCTACACTTGTCGTGGGGCAGTTAGTACTGCTAATTGCAAGTGCACTAGAATACCAAATGCAGCTGCAAAAATATATTTCAATTTCGGTGTTTTTTGTTTGTTTTTTAATAAATTTAGGCCACGTTTTTGTCCAAACATTTATTTTCATATTGAATTTTGGAAAAACAGGAACATAGTAAACTTAAACTCGGTTTCCCGGAGCACTACCAAAAATAAGCTGCAATAAACCCCGAATTTGAGGCAAAAAATAAACTAAGGAAAACGCTCTCCGAGTTTCAGTAAAAATAAACTCAGAAAATACGGAACCCTAAATACAATCTAGCGACAAACAGCTTCAAATGTACGCAGACACAAAGGTGTTGCACTCTGCCAAACAAGGATAGCCCACACATGCTCATCTCATGCCCATCATCTTAATAAAGCAGCTCTTTTGAATGTGGAAAGTATCACTTTTAGCTTTATACATTTTAATCTCTGCTTAGCATGTGAACACCAGCTGAAACATCCATTTTTTTTTTTTTTTTTTTGTTACAAACTGCAAACGTGTTTTTATTCAGTGAGGTCAGAACAAGGTTTTCGTAATGGTGGCATCTTTTTGGAGACAACGTCCAACAAACACACTCTGGCGTATCAAGAGTTAGTCCGGGTGAGCGTGTCACAGAAATGACTGGCACAGGTGATGTGTGTGAACAGTGAGCAAGCAGCAGGCATTCGTCTGAACCATGAGTGAGCTCGTGGCGAGGACAGCCCGGCGATGACAAGTCTTTGGGCATCCGTAAACTTTTCACCGCTGCTTGACGATATTGGACACAAAAGAGGAAAAAAATCACAAAAGCCGAAAGTTTGGCGTATTGTCTCGTTGCAGGGTTACCTATACCATCACTCTGAATGAATGTTTCAGTGGTTGTGTTTATGGGTCCCTGTTGTACGGCTGTTTCCCACACCCCCTCCCGCCATCTCCCTCCGACGCCACTGCTTTCATGTGTCTCTCCTTCTTGGGCATGAGTTCCGAGTTTCTACGGAGAAGTGCAGATTCTGAATTGCTTCTAAATAGTTGAGCATTCCGGATTTCCTATGTTGGTTCTAATCATTATGTAGCATAACCATTATTTACAGATTTTATCACTTTCTTCACTACCATGCCCGTGGCACCTCTCAGTCAAACTTTACCCTTGCTCCATTAAAACTACAATTTCTACCTCATTTCTGCCATAAACCTCCAATCCATGATTGAGTATTAGCATGCCTTGTAATCGAACAATTCAGATACAGTAGTTCCTCGTTATCACAAAATTTTTTTTTTAATTATCGCTTTTATTGAAGTTTAACGTGGTCCCGACTGAAATGCACGCATTATTAACCAATTTATTCTAAGTGTATCGGTGGCCGATCACGATTATTACGGAGGTTGCGATGCCGAAAGCACACAAGCCTACACGGAGGCGCACGGGAGACCCTTGCATTCCCTCCCCCTTCTTCATGAGGGAAACGGCAAACTGGGAAAACGGAATAAATGGGTGATGGAGGGCAGAGCACACAGCTCTGCAGAGCCCCACTTCCAATGCCGACGCGGGGGTGCGGGTAGGGAGCAGCGTCAACATTCTGACACTACTTACGGTGCCCGCGGCCGACGCTGCCCCACTCCTGACGGAATCCCCGGTCAAGGAGTGATGGAGCCCGGAGGAGATCATCCCTTCGGGAGCCCCCGACGCGTGCGCCTGCGGGATACTACATGCACACGTGCGTCGTATGGGAAATTGGGAATGTTTACCGAAAGTCTCTTGAGGTTGAGAAAAGTGATTCCAAGTCCGAAATCGCCAAAGAATTCGACATTCAGGTGCTCGACACTGTCCACCATTTTGCAGAACAAGCAAGGCATATTGGACGGGTTCGAGAAGTTTCTCATGCAGAAGAAAGTGCGCCCGCGACCCGAAGATGAAAGGTCGCCAACTGCTTCGCACACGTCAGATTTTCTCTCGTGAGCATGCTTACCGAGCCGGTGCGCGATTTCCATAGCTGCAACAATATCTACGGAAGTGTGTGAAGACATGTTGGCAAAGCCACCGAGGATAACATTGATTTGTTTGCGCTTTTCGATGCGGACGTTCCCGTTTTTGCTCCTGCCATGGATGCTGCGATCATAGACCTTGCGTGCTACCAGGGTTAACACGAAGCGACTTCGGAGAGGCACCTCGGGAAATGCCGACGACTGCGGAGACTTGAAACATCCTACAGATGCTTCGAAACAAAATGGAGTGCAGCGGCGGTGACAGTGCTCTTGCGATGCATGGAGCAGTTCGAGGAGAACTGATGCCCTGATGAAATTATCGGCAAACTATGCTTGATTATTTTTTCACTCGGTACAGCCGCTGCGGTATGTTCATAACCAAGGTTTGTCTGGTTAAATATATGGTCAGAGTGTTCTGCAGCGTTTCTGTCCAGCTTCAAGGCTGCAGGCACTGTTTTTTTTGTTTTTTTTGGCTCTATTGCTTTTATCGAATGACCGCTTATATAAAAATTTTTTGCCATCCCGTTGACTTCATTATAACGAGGGATTACTGTAGATTCATTCTTGGAAGGGGGAGGGTGAGAGTTTGCTTCCAAGCTCATGACGGTGTTGACAATGAGCATGGAGTAGCTCCTAGTTGCTGATTATAGTATGTGTCAGGCTTTGAGGCAGCTTCCCGCTTCCAACGATTGGAGATGGCGTGCTGATACTTCGGAAGCAAATCCACCCTTCTTTGAGTGTGTTTCTGCTTGACAAGAGCCTCCTTTGTGTTTGGGACAATACAGCGTCGTCTCTCTGTTTGTAGGTTCTCACGAGCCTGATGTCCATGAGCTGAACTGTTTTTATTTGTAGTCGAGTCCTATCGAAGCTGACGTTGATAGGACTCGACTGAAACCTGGTCTGCTTTGAGGGATGCAGTCAGGGTCTTGCCTCTTGTTTGCAGGCCTATGGACTTGATGACCATCAAAAAGAACATTGAGAGTGGCTACATCAAGACCACGCTACAGTTCCAGCGGGACATGATGCTCATGTTCCAGAATGCCATCATGTACAACAGTTCTGACCACGACGTCTTCCACATGGCTATTGAGATGCAGAAGGAGGTGATGGGACACATTCAGGTCAGTGGCCACACCACACCAGGACATTCTTTGGGTGCTGGTTCTATCTCTCTTCCATTCTCCTGAAACGGAAGCCTGCAGGGCTGATGGGGCACGCATGCACAGTTACCACTTTTAAGCATCTCTGTAAGTCAAGGGCTAAGCTCGGGGTAAAACGGGGGTAGCCAGACTGATATGGGCCGGGAGTTGTCGACAGCACACATAATTTCTGGGGAGCCACCACTCGTGTGGGGAGCCTATTTATTGTTTGAAGTTTATACAGGGTGTTGAATTTAAATTCTAACAGATTTAAAAAATAAAGGGCGTGTCTGGTGCAGGGATACTCTCCGCTGTATGTCTACCAGTCTTGGCAGACATTAGATGGGAGGAGAACATTAACTAAAATATATATGGGTCATGTTGAATGCTGCCCTTCTTCGAGGATCCCCACCTTGGTGTTTGTGTGCTTGAGCGATGCTCTCGAAAGGTAGGGGTGGGGTTGTACTAAGGGGGATTTAGGGTTGAGACTTGCCCACGGCTGGCTGTGCCGGGCTTTGTCCGCGTCCGAGGAGAAGGGTGTCGGGGCAGCTGAGCCAAACCCGGGGCTGTTGCCAAATCCTCGGGGCTCCCTGAGCGAGGCAGAGCGCGACTTGAGACCCCACACTTCATAGACGGGCATCATAGAGCCAGTCGCCTTTTCGCTCCTTTGTTTCACTTCCCTGCTTGACCTTTAGTGGCAAGAATTCAGCCTGGGTGATGCGCGTTCTCGCCTTACTTGGGTAGGCTGTCTGGGCGGGTGCTAACGGGGATCGTAACACGGCAAATATGTTGTTCTTAACATTCCTCGAGCATTATGTTGTTCCCGAGCAACTCATTTGAGCTATGTGCGGTGGTCTTGAGGTGTCGCTACGAGTCTTCACAATGAAATACCAAAAGTATGTTGCCTATGTCAAGAAAATATTTTTAAACCACTACCGAAATAGATATACTGTAAAACCCTTAATGTTCGCGAGCCCTCAATTTTCGCGAATTTCACGAATTGAAGAATTCGCAAAATTTAAGTGTGCGCAAAAATTTCAGTCCTTAAGATTTTCAATGCAGGCGTCTGGAATTCGCGAAATTTAGTGGTCGCGATTATGTCATCTGTGACCGATTCGCGAAAAATAGGGGCCACGAAAATAAAGGGTTTTACAGTATTCTTTGGCAACTTTCCTGAACCTAAAGTGAACAGTTAAGAAGTGCTCAAAGAGAAACCCCCTCCGGTGGTGGCTGTCCTTAGCTGTGGCTCGGCATTTTCTTCAGAATGCTATGCCCGAGGGCATCTGCAACTTGATTGAGCGTGTTGCTGTGAAGTGATTGGGGGACTTTGGGATCGCAGGACTTCCTGGCCACCCAGCTGATGGTGAAGAGCACCGAGACCAAGAGCCTGCGGGGCCGCGACAAGAGCCTGCCGGAGAAGGTAAGTCCTGGGGGCCTCGGCCTACTGGCCACTTCCGCGCCAAACTGCTTGTGCCAATTCCTGGGGCGAAATTAAGTGCCCGTTTTGTCCATTAGAAATTCCTGAACAAATGTTCAGCAATTTCTAATGGACGTCAACATCAGCCATCTTGAATATCCAGAACCCGGAACAACGTATTCCATGCAGCGCAGCAGTTTCAGCCATCTTGGTGGCGAGCAGTGTGTTTTTATAGCTGTGGAGTAGTGGTGCACATTTTTGGTGAAGGGGAAGGTTAAACCAGCTGAAGTTTTGAGAAGACTGTAAGTGAGCAAACAACATTAAGGACAAGTGCGTACGTACTGTCCGACAGTTTGGCGAAGGACTCGGTGACAAACTAATTGTGCGGAGACGTTTGTCCGACCTCGGTCGCGTAGCCCAGTTCCCTCGCCGCCAAAGGAATAGGGGGAACCGCCAAAACAATGGCAGCAGCGCGTGCACGCGCACGAAGAATACTTTGAAAAGCTGATGTAGTTTCGTGCTTGTCTGATTTTCTGTTTCCTTTGTCAGGATAAAACATCCAGTCAACCTCAAAGAGTAGCTCCAGTCATAAGTCAAACCAAAGTAAATGACTGATATTGATCTCTTGTGGAGATGAGCACTGCCAAAATATTACACTAATGGGAAACTGTGATCCACCCTAAAACCAATACGAAAAATGATACCACCAGCTTCTCAGCAGGCATTCAGTGGGTTGGCTGTTCGTCAAGCAACCTTGAGCCCAGATGTCATCTTTGTTTTCAAGGTTTCTTGTTCGTACTGCAGCTACTTTCGCAGTGTTTTTCTGCTGCATTTTCAGTCGCCCCAGCAGGCGATACCTGCTTATGTTATGTCATGTTTTAGTGGTCGTAGTTTGTAAGTGCTCTTTGGCAATCACGCACGAAGATCATAAACTCCCTACTCACTCAAGCCCGTCGTGGTGCCGAAGGTGACATTCACTGGTGGTCATAGCTTAGCCCGTTCCTGCTCAGCGCAAGCTTATGATTAGCTTCCGCAACGCTTCTGCAATGTGCATTGCAGAGCACCAAGATTGTAGTTCTTCTCAGAAGATAAGTGGGGGCTCGTTCTGAGCCTGTTTTCATCGTGGCAAACTCGCTTTTTGGCCGGCAACTCTTATGGATCTGTATTAATATTTGCTACATATGTTTGATATCTGCAAAGCAAAGCAGTAAAACAGCCATAGCATCTTACATGACTAATCGGAACTGCTCTTGCAATTAGGTCGGTTGTATGTTTTGCGGTACCGCTATACAATCTTTGCATCACACGATCCTTGCAGTTGATCACAAGGGTTGCCATCATGCTCAGCTGATAGTTTGTTTCACCGTAGACCCCCGAAACAACACTTTGAGATAGGGTACTATCTACAAAACTACATGAGGCACTGAAAAAAACAAAACTGACACCTCGTAATTCAGGGACACTTCCTTCACTAAAAACCGACGTAACTCTAAAATCGAGAAAATTTACCGGAGTTATCCTTAAAAAAAAAACCTTAAATGAAGATTCTCTTTTTATAAAAAGTCTAATTGGGACACGCGTGTCGAGAAATATATTTTGCGCAAAAAAAAAAAACTTTTTTTTAAAGCAATAATGGCGGCGAGAGACTTATTTGAAATTCTGCATGCAAGACCATGACGTCGCAGAATGGTCATTCACTCTTTTGACCTCAACGAGATGGTCATTCATGCAACGTGAAGGCGAAGCCGATCCACCTCTCCTCCACGCACCCGAAATGCCAAGAGAGAAAACAAGTGTAAAGGAGGTGACTACCAACTAAATTGTGTCTCGCACCATCAATATTGCCCTAAAAAAAAAAAAAAAAAAAAAAAAAAAAAATTTTCGCGTAAAATTAAGTTTTTGACACGCATGTCCCAATCAGACTGCTGAAAAAAAAAAAAACTTTTACTTTTCAGAAGCTTTTTAAGGTTAACTCCGGCGATTTTTTTAGCTACCTCAACAAACTATATTTTCTGAATCCCCGGCGTTTACCCTTTTTGGTGTGCTATTTAATTTAGTATTGCGAAATTAATAATAGTTACTGTGAAATCAGCAAATTAAAATGTTGCAAAAAACGACATTCAAACTACCTGCACTTTTCAGTGCCGTGACATCAGTGGAAGGCAGGCTTGCCAGTTGAGGAAGCAGTCTAAACAATAGGCTATGCCCAGAATTTGTTCTGTGCTGGTGCACGAGTACTGGAGCGAGCTTCCAAGGCATTCATTTGACACCATGAAACTGCTTGTAGTCAGTTGGAAACAAAATCTACAGTCCAAAAAGTTAATTCATGCCTTTCACTGGTATCACCTTTTTGTTGTTGCCAGTAGAGTCTTTGTTTGAAAAACACGGTGAGGACTAAAATTGTAAATTCAAAAACTGTCAGCTTTTCCACTCTGGTGAAGGAAGACCAGCGAAGCTGTACTATGGTGGGAATGAAGTATTTATAACTGTAAGGATTAAGGTGTGATTGGGTAATTGGTTATTTGAACGATTAAAAAACCAGACATATATATAACGATCCAGGGTTGTTATTTATTTCGTAACTACAGTGACCATGGCCTTGTGATCGCTGTTGTACACCGCCATAGGGTGTACGCTGACAGCAGGCATGTTCTTCGTGAAGACGAGGTCTATACACGTCCGGTTCCTGGTCGTGGGCACCGTAGGTTCGTTCACACACGCAAGCCCGAAGCGCTCGAGCATAAATGAACTGAACTGCTTTTCCTCCTGGCGTGCAATGTCAAGGTTAAAGTTGCCCATCACTGCGGCAGACATGTCGTCGCCGAGCATGACCCAGCCAAAGACGTCCATCATGAATGCTTCAATGTCTCTCTTGGGCGTCGCAAAGGGGACGTACAGGATGGTGACCACTGGACCATCGCGCACCTTGACAGAAAGGCTGGAAAGATTGCCGCCATCTGTGAGCGACGGCGGCAACCAGATGGGTTGTCTGGTTGCCACCATCACTCATAGATGGGGGTAGTTTTGTGTCGACATTTGTTTGGTACCGGACACGAAACTGGGGAAACTAGCCCTTAACAGCTCCGCTGTAACAAGTTTGCAAAAGACGAATATTTTGGCCTAAAATTTGGGATACTATTTCAGCGATGTTCATTGGTGTGTTAAGCAAATTTTCAAACAAATCGGGGACCATGAAGAAATCGCCGGAGTACCCTTTTAAAGAGCAACTTTGTTCGAAAACGAAACCAAAATTGATGACTGCTATCGCTTTAGTGGCACCAATTACGATCACAGCCAAAATATTACGTCAAAGTGAAGTTGCATAGTCTGCTAGTGGGTTAGCTTTTAGTCAAGTTACACTGACGCAGCACCTTTGTGACGTCACATCGCGGTGGAGCTGCAGTTGGTTGGTTGTACCGCGTACCGCAGCACTCTTGCAACGTCATGTCTCTGCCATATGACTGATGTACGGCTTATGATCAGTGTTGCCATCCCTCTAGGAGATAGTTTGTTTTGCCGTAGACGCCCAAAACCAAATTTTGAGCCGCAATATTTATAAAACTACACACAGTATCAAAAAAACAAAATTATACTTCGTAATTCAGCTTTAGCTGAAAGCGGTCATAATTTTAAATATGGACCAGAGATGCCCTTTAAAGGACCCTTGTAGTATCATTTTGTTAGGCTTTTTTTTTAATTCTATCCTGCTGTATGCTGGCAATTCATGTGTTCTGGCTGTATTAGTTAGCAGCATCTGGTGGTATTCTAATTTCCCCCATGTGTAAGGGTTCTGATGGGAAGAATTTGCACGTGTCTTATACAGGATGAAGAGAAGAAGAAGAAAGTGCCAGCAGATGAACCACTGGCCAAGAAACGCCGTACTCGTACCATCGAGTGACGGCACCCTAGTGGTGCCATGCCTTTTCACCATGCGCACTGGTCTTCTCAACTACTCGACAGTTTCGAGTGAATCGGGAACTAGAACCAAGCACTGTTATATCTCCATAAATTCAGTATTGTTTGTCTTTTAGAGCACGAGCTCCATTTTCCATACTTGTGAATTTTCTATACTTGCTTTTCCTATGCAGCTACGCATTAGGCCAAGCTTTCCACCTGCGTTTGCTCGTACTGTCGGATTCAGTCACCCATTTTGTACCACTTTTTTTACCCCCGAATAAAAGTTCCTGGAAGAAACGTTGAAGTAATGGGTTCTGATCTGTTCATTCGTTGCCCCCAGGGACCACCGGCGGTTTTCGGAAGTGCCGGAATGAGCTCTCGTGCAGACTGAATGGGGCTCGAGCCGCACTTTCCGGGCGGGCACCCTCCCTGGTGGTGTGTCCCAGGCGACTCATTCAACTTGACACTCGACACAGGCTGTTAGTCCATGTCAAGTCGGCGAGGGCCAAAATTGGCTCTTGAAAGAAATTTCCAGACAGAGCTCGCAAATACTGCCCCTGCCGCATTAGAAGAGGCAGACTTAAGATGCAACCTGCCAACCTCTCAGTCTTGCACATTTTTAATGCCGTACAACTCGTGTTTTTGCATCACTCGCGAAAGCTTGAAGCCGCAGTCCCACTGCTCGCACACTGTACAAAAGACCCGGTGTTTGCTCTAGACAGAATCGAATTATCCGCACCTCAAGCGCATTTGCTTCCTTTATGCTTGCAACGTGTCTGCGGCCAGTTTTTGTACGACCACCGTCGTACAAGGAAAACCTCCATGCCTGTCTTTTCTATGCTGCATTGGTAGTGTGAAAGAACACGGTCCCTGGGCAAGTGGGGTGGCTCATCTGCAAATGCCTGCCTCTGCACGAGGAACGAGCTTCTTGCAATCAGTTGTAGAAAGCAAAGGCACGGGAGAAGAACGAACCGGTTGCATTTATTTTGGTGCACCACAAGTCTCCTCCAAAAAACTTGCGTCCAGAAGCAGAAAAGAGGGAGAATAATTTTTTGAGGTGGCCGCCGGGAACCAGAAAACAGACATGAAGAGCTAGCTAAGTTGAGACCGTGTCCGGCTCAACTTCGAGCATCCCGGGCACTCATAAATTCATCCAGGAACGAAGCCGTCACCATGACCGGCATCTAGCCAGTGCCAGGTTCCAGCCCCCGCTGAACCTTTCAGACCTTCTCAAGACAATCGGGGTGGTCCTTTCAGAGCTTCCAAGTTCTCACCGGATCTCCGAGGATTCAGTGTCTGCTGCACATCGGGTGTAAGCGGCACTTCCGGACAAAAAGTACCAAGAGTTTCTGGGAGCGGTGGTAGAGCCCTGCGCAGATAACAGTTTATTTGCATCCCCGCAGACTTCGTATCCAAACCTCATCAGAACTGCATCAGACGCAATCCATGCATTCATTTTACATCATAAGATCAAACATGAATAAAAATGAAAAAGACAAAAAAAAACATGGTCTGCTTATCTTTTTACAAAAAAAACTGTGTCAGAATATGTTAAGTAATTTTAGCGTATTCTGTTTTATCATATTTAGAAAATAAGCTATCATCCTTCCAGAGACACTTCGCATCGCTGGAAAGATGATCGCAGTTCAAAGATCGTCTTGGGAGTCAACATGTAAAGCAAAAACGCTGACTATTTTCCAACCTGCAGCTGCATATGGTGGCCATGGGAACAACGGCGCGACGCCCTCACAGTTTACATTGTAGTGAATGAGCAAGTTGTGCAGTTATCTGCTCAGTTTAGACCCAAGTCCTATAAATCTTGTCCTCTAAACGTGAGTAAATGCATCAAGAGCCTCTATCGCCGCCAATATTCTATTGGGGGGAGAGTCTGGTGCCACCCAGCCGAAGTCGACAAGACGTCCGTTCTCCGCTGCTTTCACAAATAGACAAAACACATTTTCACTTGCGTTTCCTTGCTCGTTCGAGATCGGCTGCCCGCCACGAACGTCGGCGATGCCGACTGGTTGCAGTGTTCAGACGTGGTCAAACCGGAGCTTGAAATGCGTTTGCATCCGAGGCAAAAACCTCCAGGACCTTCGGAGAACTGAGGGAGTTCATGAGCACTGCACAGTGCTCGTTGGGGACACTGAAGACAGAACACAACCAGAAGTTTTGTCCCCCTTGAGCACATTGCTGCATCACGACTCTAAAGACTAAAAGTTGATAAAAGAGACAAATGCCAATCTGTTTAATTTTTTCAAATAAAAACTGGAACACGGAAGCAAGAATGCTTTTCCATTCTTTACTCTAGAAGCGACAGTAACTCCTGCAAGATGTGGGCCAAAGTCCGAACGTACTGCCGCTTCGGCAAAGTAAAACTAGGCACCGACTCATTTTCCGTAGCTTCAATGTGTTTGCATGACCATCTCGGTGAATTCTCATTTACAAATGACACATAATCTTGTGTATACAATAAGCGCAGTGCAGTACAATCGATCCAACTAAAATTATTATGCAAAGTATGCTAGTGGCATTTGTGACTTACGAGATGCTTTGAAACGGCGTAGCCGGTAGCAGCGTTTTTTTCCCTTCCTGTCTGTGAAATGAACATTTTGGACACGACAGAATGCAGCATTCTGTCCTCCACTTGTGGAACAGCCTACAGAATGTGTCAGTAGTTGCACAGTGACACATTGGCAATACCTTGTTTTTTTGCCTATAAATGGGTCCTGTTCTGCAGGTCAGTTTTTTACCTGAATTTTTTAACTTGCAAACAGACAGATCTGGATTTCGAATTATCCAGAGTTCTCTGAACAGCATTCGATTTAAGGCAAGACACTGGTTCTAAAATCGACTTTTTTGTTTATTAATGGATTATAATGAAAATCAGTGTATATGTGTTTTGGCCTCCTCTTTTCAAATATTCAATTAGTTCTGCAATATCTCAATTACTTTTTGAGTTACGAAGAATATAATGAAGCCTAATTAGGTCATTTCTTACGACTCATTAAGGAACTTTCTAATACAATTTTTTTTGCATAAGTGATATGGATTTGTAGCTAAAGACCTGCCATGCAAGATGATGCTATTTATATTTTTGTAAAGATAGATCATTGTATAAAACTAGTCTAATTAGGTCAAGTACACTATTTACAAAGCCTAACGAGGTCACATTATCACTAATAATAAAATTTCGGGCCCATACTGTCATACAAAAATAGCATCACCCTGCAGTTCACTTCTTTCTGAACGCTGCCTGTAGAGACCTATTTTGAGACCTGGAAAACTTGAAACAATTTACCAAACATTGCAAGATAACTTCGAGTTAAAAGATTGTTGTACGGGCTAGGGTGCCATTTCCTTGCCCAAGTGCATGCACTTAGTAGATAAATTTTGGTGTTGCATTTAAAGTTTTGTTTTTAGAGCACAGCTCTTAGGCGCCCGTTTCCGGCTTGAGCGGCGTCAGCGTAACCGTGAGGTCACGTGACCCCGGTGACATCACGTAAACCCTGTGAGGTCACGTGACCTCACAGTTACGCAGATGCCGCTTGGTGGGAGGAGTAGCAGGCAGGATGAGGTGAGGAGGAGGGGTATATGCTCCCCTCAGTACCCTTCCCTCCTCCCCCTCAAGAGCTGCGCTCTAATTCGGTGTTACAGGGAGTTGTAAGCGGCTTTCATTTTTGTACCCAGCTCGTTGAAAGTGACTGTTGTGCACCCACTTAAATAGGTCCCGTGAGGATTGTTATATATAGTCGTTTCAGAGCCACATTTGTGACTTCAAAGGATAAGCAGCCTCGGTGGCTTTGAGGCAAAGCGCCAACCTATGAATCCCCAGTTGGCGGGTTCGAATTCAAGCCGAGCTGCCCGCAATCCGACAGAGGCTTATTGCAGAGAAAGAGCAGAGCTTTCGGTTGTGCGTCAAAAGATCCCCAAGTAGTCCAAATTAATCCTCCGTCCTTCACTGTGGCGTGCCAGATGCCCTTCGTTGGTTTGGCACATAAAGCCCTAAAATTTAAAGTTGACTTCTAGAAGCTTAATTTGTTTGGTATACAGTAAGATACAGAAAACCCATTGCATGAAGAGAATTCAACATTGACGAAACTTGAATGAACTGCATACAAGCAGCAGTATTGCAAGGAATCTTACTCTAGAGGGAGGTCGCTGGGACGCACGCAATACAATGCCGCATGATGGGATTACAACTTGAATCTTTAGTATTCATGGTAAGTCAATAAAAAAACATGAATCTTGTTGGCCAATTTTAAGGCTGTGGTTTCTTGCCGTCTTAAAGGGAGACATGGCCTAGGAATTTTCTTTTCAAGGAAAGTCCAATTGTTTTTTGTCCACTGCCTAGTTATGCAGCTCAAATTATTTTCGGTGTGCAAAGGACTAAAGGCCAAAAAGATGCGAATTCACAGAACGTCTTTATAGCAATAAATGACTTGTTGCTACATACTTTTTCTCAGGCACCCTCCAGGCATCATGGTTCGTACAAGCAAAAAGGAATGTTGGGTACTAAATTTGTTTTTATAGACTCAATGTCTGTGTGCCCATGATAGAAACAATGCATAGCAGCCTACATATGTACTGTATGCTGCAAATCTGATTCACTTCAAGCTAGGATATAAAAGATTCTGAGCAATGTCTTCAGCTGCAGTGCCTTTCCTGAATCACTCTTAGAAACTGCAGGACTTTCCTCAAACAGCTAAGAATTTCCTCTGGAAAGTGCCACAAACATTTTCCCCGCGCTGCAAGTCTCGCAACTCTTTCTATGGCTGGTCTCCAGTAGTTGGCTGGAGATGACAAATGAGTGAAGCAAGTATTGTTGTAAATTCTGTTTATTTTAAAGCGGAGGTAGTTATCCAGCTGCAACAATGAAGTCTGGGCAATTGTTCTTTTGGCCTTTTTTTTTTCAAGGCCACTGTATGTTTCACATTACATTCAAACAGGTCTTTTATCGGGCTTCCATGTGCCAGAGTGCTTGTGAAGTGACACGGGCCATCAATAAGAGTGACATTCCGAAGCTCAACAATGACACAATGGGTGAACCTCATCAGCCAGGTGCAGAGCAGCTTTGTTCTTTGCCCGATTTGCACCACAGCAGGTTGAGTATCAACTTCTAGCAGTAGAAACCAGTTTCTATAAATTCTTCCACTCAGAATCTTTCGTGCAAGTTATAGTATTATAATGAGGAGTTTTCATAGATTTTCACCGTCCCGCAACACTCTCCGAAACCCGCTACGACATTTGCAACTCTACAACCAAGACCATCGACACGCAGGTGCAGTAGTGGCTTCTTTGTTGTGGAGGGCTTAGCAGAGGAGGAAACTCGGTCTACGAAAACTCCCTAATGTTACCAGTCCACAGAGAACCAGGAGTGGCCATGAAGATAGAAGATGGACGGAGTTTGCTTTCAGATGCATTACTAACTCGTTCAGCATCACTGCAATCAACAGGATTTTACCTGAGCCGGTCAACAACACTCGGCAATTCAGCTAACCCACAACTGTCCAAATTCTTTCAAATTTGTTATTGGGGTTTAGTTGAGGAAAGAGCAAGTACAAGAAGGAAAAGGCACACTTGCAACTGAAAGGTTGATTTAAAAAATTGTGCACTCAAAATTCTACACCGAAACATGCAAAATTCCTTCTCAAGGAGGCTCCAGAGCTCGATGTGGCTATTCCTCGCTCAAAATGTCTTGCCAACATGAAATTGATAGCAGATCCAAGGGTGGGGTGCTGCCGGCACGGAAAAATTGGCACAAAACTGAAGCATAAGAGATAAGACGTGCAAAAAGAAGGGGATCTTGACAGCATGTGGTGTGGCTGAAAAAAAAAAAAAAAAAAGAAGGCCAATTTCCTACGAACTTTAGTTGAGGTGCTTGAAAGAGAAGCACAGAGACGAATGCTTGCAAACAATTTAAACACTGCAACTAAACCTTGCATGCTGCGGTTTTACAGAATCTAAAAAGAAGAGGTTGTGCCACACAACACTCCAGTTATTTTCACAACTTTAAAAAAAGCTGCCTGGCTAATAATAATAAAAAAAGATTTTGGTTTTAAAAGGACATTTGAAACAGAAAACAAACAAAAAGTGTACAAAATTGTGGGATGCAGCACGAGCATCATCTACGATATCCGTCACACACACTGATGTAGGCCAAAGCAGCCTACATAAATTCTGGCAAAAGCAGTCCGTGTATCAGTGACCGCACACAAGGACACAACTGGGCCGATCCTTTCGGGATACTTGGCAGTAGACTGCAACAGGTGTATGTCCCTGCATCCTAAAGTTCAAAGGGATTTTGGCAGAACATCACGATAAAGCCGCATGAGAAATATAAGCAGCATATATAAGTGGGTCAAGAGGGGAGGGAACACGGGGGAGGCATCTCCTCTGATCTCTTGATAAGAAATATTTGCATTTACATAATGAATGGGAGCACCGAAATTGGTGTTACTTTTGAGTATGAATTAAAGTGCGGGTCTTGTATTCAACCTTTCAGTAGCTTTTTGGTGGGTCTAAACTTGCGCTGTGGACCAACTAGTGTAATGAACAATTTAATTTCGCGAAACAGAATAGCATGTGCTGTCACCCTCATAGTCTAGAGCATATACAGTCACTCTCATCGCCTCGAGTGGAGCACAGCACGGGCCAGAATTTCTAGGCCCAGCTTGGTAGAGACGCAGCCCGGGCCCGACCAGAGCTTGACAGAATATTTCATTTCTAGGCCTGGCCCGGCCCGGTAGAGATACAGCCCGGACCGGCTCGAGCCCGACAAAATTTTTAAAATATGAGCCTGAACCCGGCCAGAGATTATAAACATGAGCCCGAAACAGTTTGCAGGTTTTAACCTAAAAATTGTTAGCATAAAGAGCACTCTCTCCCACTATGCTGGTGGAGTTCATAAGTTTTCTTTTTTGCACTTTAAGGCTTTCCAAGTGCAAGACGTCTTAAAAGATGAATGAGCACACTTTTTTTCATCAACAATTTAGACCTTGTGGCACACGACTGCCCAGGCACGGCCCGAAAAATGTTTTGTTCAAGCCAGAGTACGGCCCGGACCCGAGAAAATGCGTGCTATCCGGCCCCAGCCCAACCTGTGGGCCTGGCTTGGGCTGGCCCGGGACGGTGCAGTGCTCTACCCTCGAGCACATACTGCCACCCTCATAGCTGGTTGGTCCATATTATCCTCTGCTGATCTCGGAGGAACATCACAGTGGCAGCCGGCCTTCTCACCGCTGACGCCTTCAGGGCCGACCCCTTCTGCAAGGTGAGGGAAGTTGGTACTGGCGGACTGTCGAGGCAAGTCCAAATGACCCGTGACCTACCCGAATAAAACGCAGCCGGGGGAATGTGTGAGCTTAGACGCTAAAAATACGTCAGAACAGTGGGTCCAGCGGTCATTAACAGCTGCATTTCTTTTCACTCTCTACGGACATCCAGGTGTGCGTGCTGCCAGACATTAACCGGATGACGGGAATGCTCATTCCTTTGTTCAGTTAACTCCCCCACCTCACAAAACGAGCTAACCCCGACATTGTCGACGACAAAGAAAAATGGCACTCTCTCGAGACGAGTGGACAGTCATGCGGAGAGGGCAACAGCGAGCAGTGGTTGCGGGTGAGAACTCTCCTTGTTGAGATTCCGTGTGTTTCCAAAGTGCGAGGCACCTCTTGCGAGCCACACAACCGGGGTGCCCGAGAGGCTAGTAGAGCATGATGGCCCCCTCGGCGTTCTTGGGGCCCAGGGGTGGGCGTGTGCGGCGCCACACCCAGGGCTGCCAGCTGGCCAGCAGCAGGAGGCCCAGGTTGGTAACAAACAGCACCAGGGCCACAGGCAGCAGGTAGAAGCTGTAGCCCAAGGTGGCCCGGCCGTCCGATGTCCACTTGTCCTGCTGCTCCTCAGCGCTCATCACATTGTGCCGCAGCCGCAGCCAGAACTGCACCAGCCAGGCCACCGTGGCGGCCAGGCACAGCAAGCCTGCAACCGGGTCCCCTCCAGTCACTCCCTCCCGGCAGTGGAACCAATACCCACTTTGCGAGGTGAGGTGGCTCGTTTACGCGCATAGCTTTCATTTCACGACACTACCTGATATAAGATATGACCCAACATTATTGAAAAGTTAGAAAAAGGATGGCGACACAGTTCACGGGAAATTATACGATATTAACACCCAATGTAAAAAGACATGACACCCTTTTCGATTTTCGAAAAAGTAACATCCAAAGTAACGAACAGAGACCCCAGACCACTTTTCCATTTTTCGTTGAAGTCAACACGACTGTCCCGTTCCATAGATTGAAAGGCCTGTCGAGACGACCCCTGGAACTATAATCAGTTACAGGTTAAGAAAAGTATTTGAGGCAAAGGAAGGCTGAGGAGGAGGAAGCAGACGGACCGCTAGAGAGAAGAGGAGGTTTCCTTCTCTCCAGCATTCCGTTTTTTTTCCTCCTCCCCAGCACTCCTTTCCCTCAAATACTTTTCTTAACCTGTAACTGATTATAGTTCACTGGAAATCCACGAGGTGGAAACTACATCATTGGAAAACGCACACACACGGCAAACTTTGTGTTGGTTAACAACACTTGAAAAGAGCTTTGAAAGTACAAAGCTGCTGGGTCACATTCATCGCAACAGAATTATTGTGCTTATCCCATTACAGTATACAGGCTCAAATATCCCACGCATTAAAATGCGTGGGATATTCGAGCCCTATCTGGTCACGCTCCGCACGCTCCCCAGGAAATCACACACAATCACCAAGTGGCTTAAAAAGCTTTTTACTCAGTCAACCATTCTCTTGCCCTCATCCAAGATTCTAACTTGCGAGCTCCCCTCACGGTATTTTTTTATCAGTACTGACCCGCAGCACTGCACGAAGTAAAGTCTTCACCCGCTTGCATGCTACTAATTCAATATTGCGTATGCGCATGAAGTTATCCTGCTATCATATAGGTGCAGTGGCACATGAAAACCGTTTTTAAGAAAGCAACAGGTGAGCCTTGCGTGAACAATGTTGCATCGTTCGTCGGACACCATGTACACAGGAGTGCCCGTGAGGTGTGCCAAACAAACAAAGGGATTCAAAGTGCATTTGACAGTTGCTAATGGCCATAAGATTTGCTATGTGTTTGCTTTCTTCCTGACCGAGTGTGCCGAGATAATGTCTGACACACCGTTCAGACACAGATATTGGGCGTCGGTAAAAGCTCATCCAAAAAGGCTTAACGAGGAGCAGGGGATGCCTGTTAGGGCCTCCTTCGTAGTTAGCCGATCTCAGCGTCTGCAAAAACTGAATTTCCAATCAGCATAAAGTTTGAGTGGCAGATATATAATGACACGAGGAAGACTTCACAGTAACTTTTGTGCAGTAGTGGAGTCGAATTTATTGAGTTCCTTTTAAAGTTTATGCGCCAACATTGGGCTCCTGTGAGGATGCGACTTGTTTTTCGCCCAATGAAGTAACAAAAAGCAGGCGTTTGGCAAACAAAATACGTGTAGGGCTTTAAGTGAGCAAATTTCAGTCGTGGTTCACCGGTACCAGACAGGATTATTGAAATTGAGTTCAAAGATACAATCATAGTGTGAGGTGACTAAGCCACATCTTACTATGTTTGCATAAGCACGCACAATATCCGGCATGTTGAAAATCAAGAAAAGTGCACCAGCCTTCCTCCTATGTCGCTTAACAATGACAGTATTGTACAGTCGGCACGGAATGAAACGCGAACGTGAACCGCGTGATTTTCGACCCACGCTGAGTCACCTAGAGACGCAACACCGAAGGTTTGGATGCACTGAGCAAGAGTTTAACACATCGAAGGAGGAGCCATCTTCTTGCAGCTCCCATCTGGTTCAGGTGGTGCAGCATCTAGCGAAAACCATGCACCCACTGTTCGCGTTTCATTCCGTGCCGACTGTACAGTTGTGGGAAGTCAGATAATCAAAAACGCAAGCAGTGCATTCGGTCATGGCGTGATAAAGGAACTGAAGCTGCTCATTCGAAACCGATACTGAGTGGCCTACTAGTTCCCCCGAGTGCACTGCGTGACATTTTGCCTTGAAGGGGCGCTTCGAATTTTGGAAGTCTATTCAGCCAGCCACGCAATTTGGCGCATTTTTATCAGGATGGCGCAGGAGACGGCTTTTAGCACAAAATGACACATTTGGTGCAGGAGTGAAATCACTGTGGGAGTGTTTGTGTCAATTAATTCTGTAAATGTAGCATTTTAAAAGTAATTGTAGTCGTAATACCACCTATCAAAATATCTATCGCAAATATAAATAAAATGCTTTTGTATCATCTCTATTTGTTGCGCTCCATTTCACAGTACCAACTCAACCTCGCAAGTAACAGACAGAGAAATACACAAAATGCATAAAGGATGCACAAACTCATATGACCAGGAAGATATAAAAAAAGAAAAAAGAACAGCATATTGCCAGAGGAGGCGACAGTCTACGTAACACAATGAAAAAGTTTGGTGGCACAGTATATTCTAAGGTCGCAAACCAATTTTGCCTGATTACCTAACCAGAAACCACTCAGATATGCACAATATAACATAATGTAAAAAAAACTGCAGTCATCAGATAATGACATATTCATGAAGGTCTTTGATACCAGCAGGAATAGCGAGAGAAATGTTTTATGCACAATTAAATCACTTTTTTTAATAGGAACCCTCTGACAATCAGCCGGGCAAGTGTGGAGTATAACCAATTCAAAAGTATTGGCAATACTCCAAACAGTAGCAAATCATAATTTACTTTATCTTAGAACAAATAATTTAATTTATCTAAGGACAAATAATTTACCTTATTTAAGGTCAAAGGCATTAGGGTAATTTCGGAACAATTATCTGACCAAAATCATAATTTTAATAATTGGGCTACAGTAGACAACCCTCTTTTAAATCCATACTCACATGGGATCAAGATACTTCCCTTTTCGATAGTTGCCCAGTTGCTATCAATAAGTGCCTTTAATTTTTACTATTTTCCCTCTCACCCAACCAAAAACAGGTACAATTTGAGCCCGTTTGCAGTCTTTAGGAATGGCACTCCTCCCCAGCGAGTCTTGGAATATTAGCAGCAAGTAAAAGCTACCCACACCGAGTAACATGACCATCTCAACGTTAAAAAGCAAATTAAAAATGCCTTCTCATTAGAACGAGATAACTGAACTCCAGGGGCTTTGTCAGGTGTTGTTTGGTGGTCGTCCATCAAGAGTAGAAAGAATTTTGAAAGACAATAAAACTGCTGCAGAATTTTGTGCCACCCCATTTATAGTAAATGTAATGGAAAAGTTTTTTTGTTTTTTTTTATGCATTTACCTCCAAAGCTTCGCCGTGGGTAACTTCAGGAAAGCAGAAGAAATCAAAGGAAACTGCATCAACTAAAATGGGGTTTAGGTCATATGACAGTTCAGTTAGCACTTGTATATTTAGGCATGACCCAGCACCCTTTGACATTTAATGACTGTGTGAGATCATGTGTTCCTAACGGGGCTGTAACTTCAATGAAATACCTCTATAAAATGTTTCTCCGGAGGCTTTTTTTTTTTTTTTTTCAGTGCACATTTATTAAAGGAAAACGAAGTTGGCACTACAGCTAACTTATATGACCTACAATTCATGCTGTGAAATGAGTTCATGATTGCTACCAGCCTTCTAAAAATAACTTGAACGCGGAAGGGTCAAATTATTATTTCTGGGTGACAAGGCCGCATTCCTCTGGGAGTTTGACAGCGGTGTCTGCACATGTTCAAAGTACCCAAAGGTGCAAGATGCAACCTTTGGGTACTTGTATCACTTTTTGAGCGCCTTCGGGGAGAACAAATGGGCCATCCCTGCCCAGAGCCCGAGCGAAGGCCACGCACCTCCGACGGCGTTCCACACGTACAGGCCCGTCCGACCGGTGATGCTCTCCACAGGTGTCATGACGGAGTTGATGACGGCGAAGATGCAGCTCACCAGGCCGAAGATGAGCGCCAGCGAAATGCCCAGTACCGTGACCAGCCACAGACCGAAGATCATCAGGCTCGGATTCCTTTGCATCTCTTCCTTAACTGCAAGCAAGCGAGAGCGTCGCAGGGACCGCGGCACGGGCGAACGAGGAAGTAGGCTTAAAGGCACTTACTGCTGAAAGTTGAGTGGCGGGGACCGAGACCGTAATTGAGTATTTTTTTGCCATGGAAGAGCCCGAAACTAACCTCCCCTTTGAATTTCCCTTCAGTTTGCGGTATGGAGTCGTTGGTGACGTAGACTAACATCACTGGCTTGGCCTCGACCCATTCCTGAGTTGCGAGAGACACCGTTAAGAATGCCAAACATCCGCAGCACACGAAAAATGTCAGGAACGTAAACACTCGCTGCACTATATTCATTGCTCCGTGTCGTAATGTCACGTTACCAAGCGACAAGTTCGGCCATTCTCCAAATCTAGGTACACAAACTTTCAGCGAACTTCCATAGCGTTCCGGGCACCGCTAAACACTGGCTGAACCAAGAAACGCTAAACTTGACGGGAGGCGTGGGGGCCGATTCTGGAGCGGCGCTAGTCTATTGGCCAATCTCAAGCACGTGACACCAAACTGTATCGGAAGCTGCAACTACTTTGCGTTTGTTTTTACGGTTTTTACCGTATCCCCAGAAGTATCACCATCACCCGGTATCACCCTGGTTCATTGCAATGCAAATTCTTCTAAAAATGGTGGTTTATTTGCTTGTCGGCCCGACTTTCGTCACTTCGGCCCCTTCGGCCACCTGTGTCCACAAACAATGTCCACACGTATTTCGAAAAGAGGAACTACTTTTGCATGTAAACGCACAAAAATTACTCGTACATATCCCGCAAATGAAAAAAAAAAAAAAAAAGGGTATTTATTTTGGCAATAACCGCGTACGTTTCCCCGCCGAAAAAAAAAAAAAAAAAATCGGCCAGTTGGGCGTTTCTTGTCGCATGTATGCTGCATTTGTGTAAAAATGGGCGAAATTTCGGTCTTGCGGTCTTCATAAGATCTCGCATACCATTGAAGGTATGCGAGATGACTCATCACTACAGTTAAGACGTTAGCGATGACACATAAAGAATGACACCGGGTTACCTCAACGACATATTGATTGGGCTAGTTGGTTCATAAGTTTGCGCTATTTTATTTAACTGCCTCAATGAACTTGGGCTACCTACCCGTCCCCCCCCCCCCCCCTCTTTTTTTTTTTTTTTTTTTTTCTTTTTTTTTTTTTTTTTTTCCCAGGCCGAACGGGCGCAGCAAGTCTATTTTCGGTTTCGACTCGTGGTCACAGCGCGTTTTTGTATAGTTTTTTTTTTTTTTTTTTTTTTTTTTTTTTTTTATTATTATTATTATTATTATTATTATTCCTTTTGGGTACGCGCGAAGGGCATCCCCGAATCCCTCATCCGTATGTGCAGATGGAGCCGAAAAATATGATCCCTTTTGCCTCGTCCGACCTGAAGAGATAAAAATTGCCGCAAATTTTACCTGTTCTCAGCAACGTACCCTAAAAATAAAATAATTAGGAAAAAAAAAAAAACATACGGGAACAAACTGCCAGCCACGGCAGACGTCAGGGATTTATTTAGTGAAAATAAACATAGTTCTAATTAGAAACTTGCCAAGTATCCTCGAAAACCACAAAATCAACTCATTTTAGAAAGGTTAACGTATATGTGTTTCGTGTCTGTCCGTCCTTTTTCGTCTCCTCGCTCCAGGGTTACCATGTTTAATATTTTGGACGCGTTTTTAGGTGTCGGCTTCTTATCGGAGCGCATCTTTGCTTCGTAAAAGCACCAAAAACGGAGGACAGAGTAGGAGTGGCGAAGATATCCGTGTCCAGTCCTACTCTTTGCCCTCGATTTTCGGTGTTTTTACAAAAAAGAAGAATGGAGCAATTATGTACCTCCACTTTCGCATTCGGTTACTCATTGCGCCGGCGGTGTTTTTTCTACGTGGCATTTTTGAGCGCTCTTCAATTCCGAAACCGAAACCAATGTGAAGGTGGCCGAGGTAGGAAGCGCAAGCGAGGCCGAAGCTACAAGCGCGAGCATATGTGAGCAGTACTTGCACTGCACGATAGCGCGTGCTTGGTAGGGACGCTGAAAGCCCGGAGCTCGCTCTTGTAGCTTCTGTCACGCTCAACTCCGATAAGCACACATCCCTGTTTATTTGCTTCGCGTCACATAAATTTAGCTCATAAAAAAAAAAAAAAAAAAAAAAAAAACGGAATATGCGGCGTTGCGCGTATTCCGCGCGCAACGCCGCATTTTTTTTTTTTTTTTTTTTTACTTGCCATTTTAGGCCAGTCAGTAAATTAACTGAACTTAGCAGTGGACAAACGGAAGCTCGAATTACCTTTGTGAATTAAGCTTTATTCGAGTAAACAAAGTATTCGAATTCCTACATGCCACAACGTGCCGTTGGCACGCCTCGCAGCGCGTCTCGCGTTCGGGGGCACCCGACGGAGCGGGCAGGACTCCCCTCGAGCGGAACCTTGCGTAGCGCTCTCCATGGAAAGCCGCACGCATTAGGGTAAAGTGGAATTACGCGACTGTGCACAGAAATTCCTCAAGTAAGCTACGATTCTGATATCACACCATCACTGGGTTTCTTCTAAAATTCGGAAGCTGCGTGATTCAGCGCACCTTTTTTTAGTTATTTTTGAGCTTAAACTGGACCCCTCCGTACGTACCAGTGGCGTTACTAGAGTCAGCGGCACCCAGGACCCCCCCCCCCCCCCCCCCCCCCTCCCTTCCCCCTGTGACGCCCACTGCTCCGTACCCTAGACAATACCGAGCATTCGCTCATGTCGTAACAAGCGCTCATCCCCTACTTTTGAAACATCTGAAATATAAGCATAAGCGCCCATCCCCCACCAACTCTGAGCCCACCAAGCACACGCATGGGCGTACCAACCGGGGTGGCAGGGGAGCGCTTGCCCCCCCCCCCCCCCCCCCCCCCCCCCCCCTTCCCCCCTGAAACAGCCGCTTCTGGGCAGGGCAAACGCTGGCCGGCGGCGCCCAAGGGATACCAAGGGCACCGCTCCCCCAGCCCCTGGGGGAGGGGGGGGGGGGGGGGGTGGTCTGGTTTGCCCCCCCCTCGAAAACAAGTTGGTACGCCACTCAGCACACGAGATGCAGAGATGCTCCTCCACGCCAACTGCTTCTCCGAGCACACCGGTGCAAGGCCGTGAAGCTTGACGTGAGAGCAACGGCGCGAAGTGGACTAGACGAAAGCGGTGCGCATGAAAAAAAAAAAAATAAATAAAAATTTAAACCGTTTAGATAGAAAACGAATGTTATAAAACGAATTTACAACAAAGAAAAAAAATGTAGAGCTATATTTATGGCGCAAAACGAATTTGTAGTTGGCGCCCGCGGGATCCGCCGCGGGTCACGTGGTAGACATGTGCGCCGTCCACTTGGCGCCGTCGCGCTGCGCCGCCGCCTGAAGCCCCTTCATGTTTCAAAAGTAGCGCAATGTTCGTCGATGCACGAGGCACGTGCAACGTGCAGCCCTTGGAAGATCATGGCGGCACAGCGCAGCACTGAGCTAGATTTCAGACGCCATATGTTCTTCCCAGAAGTGGCGCGCAGCACGTGTCTCGAGCATTCCCACAACAATGAATGGCACCCACTTTTCCCAGAATAGAGGGGCTTTACCACCGCCGCCAAAGTCAGGCCGCCACCGCACGCTGAGCGTGGAGCGCCGCCCATTCAACGCGTTTCTCGTCGCCGCCGCGCAAGTTCGTCTAAAGTCCCTCGATGTTTTTTAAGTTCGTCTGCTCCGGGGCGCCGCCACCGGCATCTGACCGGCGCACAGGTCTATCACGTCTGCTTGCGCTTTTTCAGGAGCTTCCTTGGGCCTCTAAAAGTTACTTATAAATATTGATGAATAAGTTACTTTTAGAGGCCATAGGAAGCTTCCGAAAGCTCGCAAGTACCACGTGACAAATAGCGGTTACTTTTCCGAGGGGCCCGCGGGCGCCAACTTCTACAATTCTTATCGCGCCGACTCTTTTTCTTTTCTTTTTTTTTTTCTTTTTTTCATTGTCAATTTGTTTTGACTTCCTTATCGCAACCAAACTGTAAGAAAAAAAAAAAAGGAAAGAAAAGAAAAGTGACTTTTACATGTTCATCTTCTGCTCCTCCGTCCTTGAACATAAAAAAAACGTCCATCTAATTTTTTTTTTCCTCTATTATTTCTGACTTTTAGGTGGGCTTAAAAAAAAAAAAAAAAAAAAAAAAAAAAAATGGAGTTTTGGATTTGCCCCTGATTTGTAAGATTGTGATGCACTTAAAAAAACTGGCTTAAATTTTGTTTCCGTAAAATATGGAGCAAAAAAAACAAAAAAAAAACGGAGTTTTGGATTTGCCCCCTGATTTGTAAGATTGTGATGCACTTAAAAAACTGGCTTAAATTTTGTTTTCCGTTAG